GTGGGCAGCAGAATGTTGCAGGGGGACAGGAGCCTAGCAGGACATGCAGATATGGTCCTGGGCCCCTGAAGCAGGGATAAGGGTAGGTGGAGAGAACAGACTGACCCACAGGGAAATTATTTGAAGTGGGGCACATAATGCAGTTCTTTCATAAGCTCAGTCACTGGGTGATTTCCAGAGAGTGGGCGTGCCAAGCATCATCTGGGCAGTTGATGTGTGATTAGTGGAAAGGTGCAGGTGTCAGGGCAGGAAGGGGGCCTTGAAGGTGGACTGGCACTGTGGGCTACTCCGAGCTGATGATAGCCTCCCTGAGGGAACATGGTGGACCCACATTACACTTAAAATGGGTCACATGGACTGAGTTTTGCTAAGCCAGAAAATTCTTCTAAATAATCTGTCCTTTCTCAATTGCATTAGCATCCCATCTTTTTCTCTCATCTCCTTTTCCTTCTCCAACCTGCCCACTTCTCCACCTACATCTCACAGGATGGATGAAAACCAGCTCTGTTTGCCTGACGCCTAGTGTGTGGATGGAAGCTGTGTGCTCAGTCAGCTGGAGGCTTGAGGCCATTGTGATGGCTTTATTGAAGTGACAAGTCCCTTTCACCCCTTTTCCCATGGCCCAGTGAGCCAACTGATTGGGAAGTTGTCTGCAGACCCACAGGACCTGCTGTTCAGATAGCTGATCTGACCTGATGACATTTTTCTCCCTGCTCACCCTGAGCAGGACTGTCTTCACGGTTCTGGGCTTTCCCACAAAAGCCATTGATTCTTCCTGGCTCTTGACTTCTTTTAAGATGTTGGGTTTCCTTGCCGAAACCGGTTTGGCTCAGTGGATAGAGCGTCGGCCTGCGGACTGAAAGGTCCCAGGTTCGGTTCCGGTCAGGGGCATGTATCTGGGTTGCGGGCACATCCCCAGTGGGAGATGTGCAGGAGGCAGCTGATCGATGTTTCTCTCTCATCGATGTTTCTAACTCTCTATCTCTCTCCCTTCCTCTCTGTGAAAAATCAATAAAATATATTTAAAAAAAAAAAAAGATGTTGGGTTTCCCTAGAAGACTGTGTTCAACTGTTAAAATCCTTGGTTAAAATTTTTGGATTTGAATCTTTGACTCCCGATGCTGCTGGGGAGGCCTGAGGAGTCATTGGTGTCACTCCTTGTGACCTTTACACTCCTCAGCTGCCCTCCTGAGCCACTTTGTCACTCTCCCTGATAAACCAGATTCACCTTTGTCACCCAATCCCCTAACTCCCCTCTCCTCTGGCAACAATCAGTCTCTTCCCTGTATCTATGAGTCTGTTTCTGTTTTGTTTATATTGTGCTTTAGACTTCACATATAAATGAGATCATGTAGTATTTGTCTTTTCTGGCAGACTTATTTCACTTAGCATTGTACCCTCTAGGTCCATCCATGCTATTGCAAATGGTAAGATTTCGTTCTTTTTATGGCTGAGTAATATTCCATTGTATATATGTACTACAGCTTTTTTATCCACTTGTCTATTGATGGGCATTTGGGTTGCTTCCATAGCTTGGCTATTATAAATAATGCTGCATTGAACATAGGGGTGCATATATTCTTTCAAATTAGTGTTGGGTTTTTTAGATATATACCCAGAAGTGGAATCACTGGGTCATAAGGCAGTTCCATTCTTAATTTTTTAAGTAACCTCCATACTGTTTTCCACAGTGGCTTTACCAATCTCCATTTTTTTTATATCCTCACCAATACTTGTTGTTACTATGATAGCCATTTTGACAGGTATAAAGTGATATCTCGTGGTTTTAATTTGCATTTCTCTGATTAATAATGACACTGAGCATCTTTTCATATGTCTATTGGCCATTCATATATCCTCTTTAGAGAATTCATACCAGTTCTTGAGGGGGAAAGTCAACATCTATTGCCTCTGACACACCTGTTCTTCTCTGTGGTGCCAAGTGACTTTGGCTCCTTAGGAATTTGATTCCATGTGGAGCCCAGAGTTGTGCTCTGAAAGCAAGGGGAGTTCTTTCTTAGGTGACCTTAGCTCTGTGAACTGACCCCAAAGCCCTTGCCTTTAAGGACTCAACCCTTCCCTGTCCCCTTTCTATTATCACGGGGGGCCCAGCTCATGGCCTTCCTTGAAACAGTGGCCATCCAATCCTCCCTTCCAGGTGATGGATGGGGCAGCCTTCTTCTCTGTCCCCTCCCATCAGTGCCCATCTCATCTCTTCTCCTCCCTCCCGGGGTGGCCAGGGCCTTTTGGCAAATCAGACTCCTGGGTGCTCCCTCCTTGGGTCTAATATGCAGTGGGACCCTCTCTATACTTGAGTGTGTGTATATTTTGTTTTCTTGAGAATGAAGGGTTATTCCTTTCCCAGAACACTTTTCTGCTTTTATAATGGAATTGAATAAAAAATAGGATTCTCTTTGCAGAAATGCAGCTCATAACAAACTGCCAAAAGACATTGACTCTGTTAAACACGACATACCTGCAGGTCCAGAAGGAAAAAATGGTGATTTTTCAAATTTGCTAAGTAAGTCTTTGCCCAGTGAACTGAATGACCCTTCTAGCCACATGTGAGGGTGTGGATACTTTTCCTTGTGAGATAGATCAATTACATTATTTCTTTTCCGTGCTTTGGTTATTTTAAAATACCATTTATTACTGGTTTCCTCCATTTGCTTTCCCTTAAAAAGTCTATTAGATTAAATACTCAAGCTGAGCACAGACTTCTTGGTGCTGAAATTATGGGCAGTGAGGGCTGATTGCACCAACCAGCTGTTCTGACCTGTTCTGACTCATCAGGCCTCAGGAACCATCCACATCTGGCAGGATCCAGAAAAGCCAGCCTGGGAGCATGCAGAGAGCGCTGGCTGGGGGTCACAACTCAGCTTCCTCATTTATGAAATCAGGGGCAGAGTGAGAGGCAGAGTGTTTTGGTTTTATTTGTTTTGAGTTCTGACCACCTCTAAAATATTTTATCTGCCATAATTACATACAGCTTTCAAGCACACACTTACACAAAGATAGATACCCAAGCCACTGACTACCTTGATGCCATGCCTTAAGCCTGGAAATGCTCATTCCAGCTTTTAGGCAGTGTAAAGAGCCTTAGGATTTACAAAGCCATTCCACATACTCAGTATTTTCACTAGGCCCTGAAACAACCCTGTGAGCTACATGCTGTAGTGCCCCCATTTTAGAGATGAAAAGACCTGAGAGCAGGAGAAGTTCCCTAAATTTGGGTGGCATGCAAGTGGAGAGCCGGGGCCTGTCACTGCAAGCCCAGCCGTGTGTGCATCCAGCTGCACTGCCTTCCAGCAGGGGCGTGTTTGCACATTTTCTATGTTTAATTGTTGTTGTTGCACAACACCCTCACGACACACAAAGCAGATCATGCCCCCTCCCCTGCATCCAGCAAGAAATTGAGGCAGCAGAACTATACTAGCAAAGTCAACATTTTTTTTCATACAACTAGTTCCCACTCTCCTATCAAATGGAAGTAAAAACGAAGGGTGGACAAGCTTCACCCTGACTGTGTCAGTTTCATTCTCAGTACAAAACATTTACTACAAAGTATTTCAGGCATTCAGAAAAGCACAGATTCACAACCACCTATGGGCTTGCCACCCAGAATTTTAAAATGTTCACATTTTTCCCTGTTTGTGTAATATTTCTTTTAAAGAAATAAAATACAGCAGTTCCCATTGAAGCCCCTTTGTTCCCCTTCTGTAATGGTGGCTGCCCAGTGACCATCTTGCGATATTCAGGACCAAATTATTCAAAACACTTTTATATGTACATTGGAATAATTATCATTTTAAAGTATATATATTTTATTGATTTGAGAGAGAGAGAGAAGAGGAGAGAAAGAGGGATAGAAACAGCAATGATGAGAGAGAATCATTGATCCCCTGCAGGCCCCCTACTGGGGATCGAGCCACAACCCCAGGCAAGTGCCCTGACTGGGTCCAACAAGTGACCTCTTAGTTCATGGGTTGATGCTTAACCACTGAGCCATACCAGCTGGGCTACCAACTTTTGAAACAAGAAGTGCTTTTGTATTGTGGTAAAATATACATAACATAAAATTTACCATTATAATAATTTTGAAGTGTGCAGTGCAATGGTGTTTAGTACATTCACATTGTTGTACGACCAGCACCACCAGCCATCTCCAGAACTCTTTATCTTCCCAAACAGAAACTATGTCCATTAAACAGTAACTCCCCAATCCTTGCTCCCCCAACCCCTAAGGCCAGATACAGACTGCAGATTTCTTTGGTTTGGTCCTAACTTTTTAAAAATTCAAAATAGAATCAATATTTTAAAATATGGGGATCTTATATTTTAAAAAATCTAGATTTCTGATTCTGGTGACTCTGGACTAACATTCTGGCATGGCATGATGGGAGCTGCCACCTTAGACATGTGGTTGCCAGTTTGCTACAGTCCCTACCACTCTGTAATTTCTTTCCTTGTTGGTCCTGGTGAACACTGGAGTTGGCAGCCCTCTGCCTTTCAAGCACATCGATGTTAGTCATCTGAGTGTCAGCAGACATGTAGTTATGTTTAACACTACAGGCTGGTTCCATACCCACTTACTCCATTCTGCATTGTCCGTTTGAATGTCTTGGCTATTTCTTCACCCTATAAGTTAAGTAAGATTACAAATAATTAATACAAAATATAAATACTGTTGGGATGTACTTGAATAGTCTGGTTTGGAGTCAGTATCACACTGGAAAACACCAGCATGAAGTCCAGAGACTTGGATGCTCCTCTTGATTTTTCCAGAAAATTCCTGGGAAACTTGAGTAAGGCCCTTCCCTGTCTGGCCTCCTCGTGCCTGTGTGCCAGGACCCACAAGGTGCTATAGTTTATAATAAAGATAAAAATCACTCCTTTCCGATGTTAGTGGAGAAAGTCGCCTCACTCACTGGACGACCTCTCTGAACCAGCCCTTTCAGTGGCCACCAGCACACCCACCCTCTACTTTTTCTCTCTGACAGGTGAGGAATGACCTGACCGGGGTTCTGTATGGTGAGGACATTGAGATTTCAGACACCGAGAGCTTCTCCAATGACCCCTGCACCAGTGTCAAGAAGCTTAAGGTAGGTGCAGTGGCCACGGCCTGAAGGACAGAACCAATGCCACGCTCCTGGGGTTCCCAAATCCCCTGACTGTGAAGGATCTTGGAGTTCGGGCTGTTTCATTTCACCCTTGGCACCTCAGACATGGGGAGAAGCTCCCAGGAGCTGGCTTCCCTTGGCTTTCCAGCACTGGCCAGAGGTCTCAGCGCCAGCTGCATGGCCATGTAGAGCGTACTCAGTGATTGTATGTCTGTTAACCCAGCCTCAGAGGCAAGCAGGGCATAAGTTAGCATCCTCTCCAATGCAAAGCATCTCAGAGAGAGGAACTCTCTTGCCCAGAACCACAGCAAGGAAGTATACTGGTGGGACAGAAAACCTAGGCCCCTGACCCTCTTCTGTGACACTCACTCCAGGAACAGAAAGGGCCAACTGGAAGTTTGCCCAGTTGTAAGTGATCTCTGAGTGTCATCTGTCCATTCATTCTGCAAACTCTCAAATACCTTGTTTGCGCCAGATCCCCTCCTGGGCTTAGGTTTACCATCAGGCCTGCCCTTGTCCCCAGGTGGCTTGCACCTGTTGAAGAAGCAGGTACCTCTCAGGGGAATCAGGAACACAGGCACCTGGGAACAAGGGAGGAAGGGACTGGCCCCACCCAGGGAGAGGGTTCCAACAAGGCTCCAGGGAAGGGACAGCATTTGAGCTGGCCATGGACAATGAGCAGGATGGGGGCCTACAAGAGCCCAGCAGGGAAGGAGGGCTGAAGACAGAGGGCCAGTCAGCTGTGCTCACTTGACGCTTGGAATCAGTATGAATTCCAGGAGGCTGGCATATCAGGTGGGACAGGAAATTTGCTGAGGCTAGAAACAGTTTAGAGCCAGTTTCCATGAGCCTTGAATGCCTAGCTAAGAACTTTGGTCTTTTATCCTGAGAGCAGTGGGAGCTGCTAGGGATTTAAAGCAGATACAGACATGGTTACAGCTGTCACTTTCCTCTTTCACTCTCTTCCACTTCCTCATGCCCACATTGAAAGTCATTGTCATGGAGACCCAGACATGACATATCCCCTCTCTCTTGGGCGGGTCCCAGGTTACACTAGTTAGAGCAGGTGGCAGTTTAGAGCGCTCATCTTTCAAAGCTCTCAGTTCACAGATGGCATACAGAAGCTGAGAAGTGAGGGGTAAAGGAAGCAGAGCACCATTTCTTTGTTCCCTGTTCAGAAGCAAACACTGCATCTACATGTGACATTTCAGCCCGGGGAGCCTCTGCAGATGAGGAAACAGTAGCTAGGGAGGGCCTGCTGGCAGCACAGATGGTTGGGGCTGGATCTGCCCAAGCTCTTCCCCAGCAGGCTGTGTGGTCTGAGGGTTGAGCCGGGCTGTGTGAGGCCTGGAGACCCAGAGGGGGGGAGTGCCCACTCTGCAGGGAGCGAACCCCTGGGGTGGGTCAGGGGTGGAGGGAAGGGCCTGGTACTGAACTGACATTCTCCTGCCACACACAGTGTCTCCCCAGGGTGGACACTTGAAATAGCTCCTTGTACCTTAGAAGCCCTGCAGAGTTCTGCAGGCTTTAAAGTTTAAAGAGCCTTTGTGCATAGAGCAGAAGCACTAGTTAAAAGTCTACAGGAAATTGGAATGGAACTGGGTGCTTTGCTCATCAACCAACTAACTACAACAGAAGCGAGACTGATGTTAACAATGATGAAAATAGCAGCCGACCTTTCGTGTGCACTAACCAAGGGCCAAGTCCCCATGCACAGCCCTACACCTTCACTTACTCATTTAGTTCTCCCCGGAGCCTTGGACAGAGGGGATTTTGTATCTCCATTTCACAAATGGGGAACTTGAGGCTCAAAGAGGTTAAGGAGCTCAACCCGAGTCACCCAGCTGGAAAGAGGGAAATTGGAATTCAAACTTGGATCTGGGCAACACCAGGACCCAGCCTTCTCCTCCACCCCACACAGCTGTGGTTCTGAGAAAGGATTTTAATGTCATGTAAGCCTGGGAGGGCAGAGCCAAGGACAGCATGCTCAATCTGTTGCAAAGAGTTTCTGCTGCGTGAAGCACTCTTCCCCTAGAACCTGCAGGGCTCCTTCTCATGCCTTCTTCTCTTCTTTGCTGAGTAGCCCCCTTTTCCCAGACTTTTCCCTTCTCCAATTATTTCAGTTAAAATTTAAGTATTTGCCCCTCTCACTCCCTTTCCCCTTGTCTGCTAATTTCTTTCTCCATTGCACTGATGGGCATCTGTATATTTCCTGGGGCTGCCTTAACAAAGTACTACAAACTGGGTGCCTTAAAACAACAGGAATTTATTCTTTCACATTCTGAAGGCTAAAAGTCTCAGGTCAAAGCCATGCTGTCTAGAAGGCTCTGGGGTTCTTCTATGCCTTTGAGCTTCTGGTGTCGCCAGTGACCTTTGGTGTCCCTTGGCTTGCAATCTCTGCCTCAAATGGCTTTATCCCCCTTCCTCTTCACATCATCTGTGTATTAGGACACTAGTCATGTTGGCTCTCAATCCAGCATGACCTCATCTTAGCTCATTACACCTACAATGACCCTGTTTTGAAATGAGGTCACATTCTGAGGTTTGGGGGGTTAGGATTTCAACATTTTGGGGGGACACAATTCAACCATTAACAACATCTGACCTACTATTCATTTTACCTAGTTGTTTTTTCACCTGTCTCCTCCCACTAGGATGTAAGCTCTTGGAGATAGCTGTTTCTGTCTGTCATGGTCACTATTTTATTCCCCCCATCACCTAGAACCAAATCTAATTTTCTCAATAAATTTGTTGAGTGTATATAAGTGAAATATCAAGTCTGGACAGACAAAGCCAACAAAACACAAGAGTAAAATACTCAAGAACAAAGAAACGTAACTTCTGGAAAGCTCTGAGAAAAAGCAAACCTCTGGTTCACTGTGGGATAAGATAGAGAAGGAAGTACAGAGGACAGGGAAGAAAACTAAATAGAAAATTACAGAATTAAAATCTGCATTCAAGGTAGTAGAGAGCAGAGTTAATGCCAAGGAAAATAAAAATCAATAATATGGAGCACAAACTTGAGATTCAGAGGAAATGGTCAAAGAAATCAATCTAATGAGAGGGAAGGTAGCAGTTATGGATGCTGGAGAAGGGAGATCCTAAGGGAAAATCAGGACAAATGAAACAGAATCAAAATTTTAAAAACAATAACAAGCATACCTAGCACCCAGCTCTTGGTTTCTAATACCATTTTCAAGGAAAAGGAACCAGGGTTCCCTGGAGAAATAGCTGATTCGAGGACTGAGACAGGAACTAGGTCCTGGAATGTCTTGCAGTGCCAGAAAACAAGGAGTGCTCAGAACACCTCCACACACAGATGGGCTGGGTCAGAGCGGTAGAGCAGCCACTGAAAGAGCTCCTCGTGGCCACAGCTGGAACATTAGAGCAAGAAAATAAAAGTGTTGGATTACAACTCAAAGTATAAAATAAATATCCGTGAGTCCATATTGATATGAATGATTGAATAAGTAAATGGGAGAGAATAGACAAATCTCCTATGCTGAAGAATTCCAAATAATTTATGTAGATAGTCACACTCACAGAGGTGGAGCAGAACTACCCACTTATTAATTGACTTCCTTCTAAAGAGTACAGTATGAAGGGGGTGGGGAGTGGGGAGAATAACTCTACAGTAGAAAACCTGACAAACACTACCTCAGACAGGTGATCAAGGTCAGCATCAGCTGTGATAAGTCCTATTGATAGAATGTACCCTTTGAGTGATGTGACGAAAGGGCATTTTACCTCTATGATCTTCCTCCCCAAATCCATAACCTCAATTTAACCATGAGAAAAACATCAGGCAAATTCTGTTTGGAGGCCATTCTACAAAATATCTGACCAATACTCCTCAACACCATCTCGGTCTTTAAAAATAAGGAATGTCACCCTAGCCGGTTTGGCTCAATGGTAGAGCATCTGCCCATGGACTGAAGGGTTCAGGGTTCAATTCCAGTCAAGGGCACTTATCTCGGTTGCAGGCTCAATTCCCAGCCCTAGTCGGGCCCCGTGCAGGAGGCAACCAATCAATGTGTCCTCTCATATCAATGTTTCTCTCTTTCTTTCTCTCCCCGTCCCTTCCACTCTCTCTAAAAACCAATGGAAAAATATCCTCAGGTGAGGATTTTAAAAAAAAGAAATGTCTAAGTTTAAAAGGAGTCTATGGAGACCTGACAACTAAATGTGGTGTCCTGGGTGAGATTCAGAAGTAGAAAAAGGACATTAGAAAAAAGAACTAAGGAGGTCTGAATACAGTATGGGCTTTAGCTAATAATAAGGAGTCAGTCTTGTCTCATTAATTGTAACAAATGTACCATACTAACATACGATGTTAAAAATAGGGGAAACTGTGTGAGGGACATATGGGAATTTTCTGTACTATCTTTGTGGTTTTTCTGTAAATCTGAAACTATTCTCAAATAAGAAATTTATTTTTAAAAAGTTGGAGACAAACTTAAATGGGCTCAAGAGAGAACTACTAGGTTGGAGCCGACAAAATTGCCAATCTTCAACCATGATGGAACTATAAAATCAACATTTCATAAGGAATGTGCAGGCTACCTGTGCAGACTAGCTGGCCTTTCCACATTCTAGCAGAATCGGTGAAAAGAGAGTCATATATAGACACATTTTGGCAAAAGTTTTGAAATACAAACATAAAAAGTTTTGAATGTACAAGTATCTAGGCCAGAAAAAAAGCATATTTTCCACAAAGGTGCAAAATCCAGGCCACCTTGACTCCTCAGCAGTGTTCAGTCCCAGAAACAATGGACCACAGGGAGACATTCTCCGATGTGTGAGGTTCGAGTGGTGCATGTGCCAGGTGCCCTTCTAGAAGTTAGTCCTTGCAGTCAATGTCATCCTTCTAGAACCAGGGCAAACTTCATAGTTGAGGTCATGACAGACATGGCTGAGCAGGGCCACCAGAACCTGTGGAAAGAGAGCTAAGTTAAATAGTTGTTATAAAAGATGCAAAAATT